CGTTTGTTGTTCAGAAACCAAGCACATACGCGTTTGCAGTTATATATACGCGTACCAAACACAATCCACACACATTCCACACACATTCCACACATTCCACACACACATACGCGCTTGTCCCCCGTAGCCTAGCAAACACATACGCGTTTGTCGTTTCCAGGCACCAAACACATACGCGTTTGTCGTTTCCAGGCACCAAACACATACGCGTTTGGAGGTCTTTTCAAATATGTCAAGCAAACACATACGCGTTTGTTGTAAAACTTGAACAAATTGGTCCGAAGTTTCCAAAACCCACCCGTCCAAACCGGAACCCCAGCAACGGGTGCAGAAGAACTTTCTTTGTTTGAGAACAGCAGCAGCAGCAGCCATGCTTCGACAAGTCCGTTGGATGGCCTTGAGTCGAGAATGCCTGCAAAGGTCACCAAAAGCTTACATATCTTAGCCCAAACAACATGAAACAAAAACACACATCATGAAAGTTAACTTGTATCACTTTTTACTATCTCCTTTTTAACTTATTGCCATGAAACCCCTAACTTATGTTATAAGTTCCTTTCTTAGCTACAACTCCAATATGAGTTATGAAACTTATAACGTATGTTAACCCTGCTTCTAAGTTAACTTGTGAACGTTTTAACATAGCTTATAACTTGGGGGTACCACCTAGTATGTGAATACACTATACTTTTATACATATATACATACATACTTAATGTATATATCTAGGTATCGTACCTATATAGTTCTAGATATACGGCTGCAATGCCTCCTTTCTGCGACCAAGTTAAAGTTACACGCATGAGCAACGGAAGCCCGGTGAATAGTATGAACCAGGCGCGCCACAATGCAAAGCACCCATGCTCTGAAAGTGGCGCCTGGCGCCGGAGATAAATCCTATGCAGTATTGCCAGTATAAAGGGAGTTGCAGGTTACAGCTACATGTATCGACACACTTAACCCATTCCACCCTGCTTACATGCACAAGAAGTGGTGCCGCAAAATCGACGCCAACCGTCAATGGCACGGGTTAACCTCCTAAGGAGGGTTGATTTTCTGTCGTTCGAAAAGTTCGAATTTGTTGAAATGATGCTTTCGAAGTTCCCCCAATTTTCTACAGAACAACTTTTGGAGACCTCTGAGTCGTAAGATTCTGATTTTCTGGGTAGTTTAGGTGCCCAAAATCCAGAAGCATAATTTTAGCATCTCTGGGAGTACGTTCATAGATTTTCTAGCGGTCCCTGATTTTCTAGAGAGGCACTGGTAGGTCATTTTGTTTTGCTTAAACATGCTTAAAATCCAGTCCCATCTCTCTCCTGGGCTGTCCTGGGCGACTATTTGGGGAAGATTAGGGAAGATATGCGTTTTCGAAAAACTCGGTCGAAAAAATCGAATAATTCGATGGGTTGGATGTTGGGCTCTAGAAAAAGAGAACCATTCCCCCGAAGTGGTTTTAAAATTTTTGATATCGTAATTTCAAAACTATGCAATTCAAGTAGGGCGATGTTTTTCTAAGGAAAAATGCTAAACATAGCTTCGAACATGCACTTCTTGTAAGTTGCCATTTTTCTAGGATACCTCAAATTCGTTTGATGTCTGTAGCTAGATTTTCTTGGGCCCCTAATTTATACAACCTTCATTTTCTACTAGAAAATCACAGGCCCCAACCTGACCTGGTGAACTCGTACAGGGATATATATATATATATACAGTAAGTAATATAATATAATGTATATAGTATAATATTATATAATATCATACAATATAATATCATATAATTTAATACAATACAATATAGTAAATATAATATAATTCTAATGTAGTACAATACAATATAATATAATATAATATAATTAGAACAAACAAGTTTGTGATGGACAATGTAAGGGGGCTTAGGGAGGTGGTCACACCCTTGCCATTTTGGCTACAAGACGATATGGGTGGACCACCTCCACCCTTTTGAATTCGTTCTTTTTAGCAGGGTAGGGCATGTCCGCGAGCGCCTTACCTGCTGAATCTGAGCTTCAGGGCGTGACAACCCTGAGGGAATTGCTGGACTACTTGGCCGTTCCCGATGGACTATGGGGATCCGTTCTAGAACAAGTGGGAGATCCTGGACATCAGGTGCGACTCATCGCCGCCCTCCCGAAGACGGTGATCGTGCAGGGTGCCGTGCAGGCTGTAGTACTGCGCAGGGAACGGGTTTCTCTGCGATACAGGCGGCTCATGTGGGGCTGGTATGGCGGACAGCACGTAAGATGGTGCACATGTGGTCGGGTTTGCCTATCGAGGAGTTCAAGGACGTGGGCCCGTGGGAACCCCACAATTGGAAGTCAACTTGGAGGAGCACTGACCATCAACGGTGGACAAGCTGAAGGAGCATCAGGGACTGCTGGCTTAAAGGACAGGGTCTTGAAGATGTCGGCCCTTGTGGATCAGTCAGACGACTCTGAGCTGGCGCCGGCGACGAGGGACCAAATAGACCAGTGGATGTCAGCCTATGTCACTATCATGGGCAGCCCACCGCCCGAGGAGGAGGAGTCATCGGATGCACAACTGGCCGCCCTCCACAGGAAGACTTTCGTGCTGAAGGCAGCACCCTATGCCGACTTGGCGATCTTCACGCCGTTTGGGCGCAAGTGCCAGAAGGCGCAGAAGTTCAGAGTATATCACCCTCTGGGGGATGGTAGCTACATGATGAGGGAGCTGCCGGGACCCCAAAACCTACAACAGTGGCTGACTTCGTGGAGGGTCTACAAGGCAGCTTGTCTGATGCTGAGCATTTCCAGTCTGGCATCGCTGCAGGTGTATGAGAAGGCCATAGAGCGCCTGGTCCTGCAATGGCCCAAATGCTGGGGCCTGATTTACCAGGCAGAAGACAAAGCTCGTGCAGAACGTCTGGACAAAATAAGACGCAGATTGATGGTCGACTTTGCGAAGAACTAGATCATGCCGCAGGATTGGGACCCTGAGAACCCATGGACTACCTGCTTCAGAATCTTAGCAACGGATGAGGAGTACTGGTCAGAACAAGTACGTCATCCAGCAGCGGCGTGGACAGCTGGTGCCAAAGGCACACCCTTGGCCCCGGCTGAGCAGATAGCCTTGGCCCATGCCGGGAGGCTCTGAAGTGGTCGACGCTGACAAGGAGGACTTCAATGATGGCGGTCGCAGAAGCCAGGCCAACAGAGACAAGAGACTTGCCAGGGCCAAGCGTCTACGTGCAGACAGAGAAGAACTGGACAGGCTGAGGAAGAAACCTTGGTCTTCTGGTGTGGACGCCAAGCAGCAGGACCAGAAGGGCAAAGGAAAGGGAAAACAAAAGATCAGGCAGGCACACCTCTGTGCTTTTCCTTATTTTCCTTTGCGAGTGGCACGGGGCTTGCGGAGCACTTGAACCGGGAGCAGCCTGCCAACAGAAGATTAAGAGGGCACATAAGTGCCAATTCTGCCTTTCTCCGGGACACAGGAACTCGGATTGCCCAAAGCAGGCTTGATGGACTCTTGGAAAGGTTAAACCTTTTCACCGTCAGCCGGAAGATTGCTTGGGGGAAAACGGGGGCAGAGCCTGGTATTTAATTGCCGGGACAGAAGTTTATAGTTTAGTAGGTTGTCAACTTTTGTTTGTGAGTTGTTGTGGATTCCTTTTCATGTGCATTTTTGCTTGACAGTTTTAGGTTTGGAAGTTCTTGCAGGGAATTTGTTTCATCACCTGGACAGGGAGGTCAGGGCTCAAGATGATCAGCAACGACTCTGAGGAAACACCCGAATACGGTGAGGATGATGCTCATGCCGTGGAGGGGGAGTTCAAGGACGAGCAGGGCTCTGATGAGGAATCCAGGGAAATGACAGCGACCTGGAGAGCGAAAGCAGTGAAGAGCGAGGGGGACCAGCCCGCGAAGACGATCGATGAGCTTTGCGTCCCAACCAGGGTGACTCAAGCGTTGAAAGGAGCCAAGAACTTCGCTGAGTTCAGGGACAACAGGGTCTTCACTTTCTTGCACATGTTTTGTGGGGAGGAGGACGTCGTAGGGGACGCAATCCTGAGGTTGGCTGGTCACATCAAGCTGAAGGTTATGTCTCTGGACCGGGACCGTGATGGAATGGACCTCACTGCTGAGGAGCCCTTCGGCGACATCTTGGACATGGCCAGGACGGGACAGTTTGATAGCAGTCACGCCGGGTTTCCCTGTGGATATTTTTCAAGGGTGAGATACAAGCAGGGAATGGGGCCCCCACCTGTGAGGTCTTTGGAATTCATTTATGAGCTCCCCACCAACAACCCTCGACAGCAAGGTGAGGCAGATCGGGGGTCACTGCTGGCCATACGCAGCGCGCAGGTCACTGCAGAGGTGCTGCAGAGCCAGAGACACAGGAAGGTACCTGAATGCGGCACTCTTGAAAACCCTCCTGGAAGCGAGGACAGAATGGAGGGGCCTGCATGGGGATTGCCGGAGTTGGACAAGTTCATGAAGGATTTCGGATGTGAAGAAGCAGTCTTCAACACCTGTGCCTATCAATTGAAAGAACGAGTCAGGTGGTACAAGCCGGCGGAGTTTGCAGGACGGCTGGGGGGTTTGAGCTCTTTGAAAAGGAAGTGCCAATGCCCCAAGTACTTCAAGCACGAGCCTTTGATCGGAAAGGAGAAAACTAGCAGGGCAGCGAAATACCCCAATGACTTGGCGCTGGAGTATGCCAAGCTGGTGATCAAGGCTTTCAGAACGGTGCTAGACCTGGAGTGGTGGAGACACAGGCAATCCCAGTCAGCAAGTGAGCTGAGCCAGGTCAAGCAGAATTGGGCACAGTCCAAGGAGCGCATGGCCATCAAAAGACCTGTGGGCGGCAAGGACATGAAGCAGTTGAGGGGCGCCAAGAGGGCATGGAATGCCGGAGATTTACAACGTGATCAACTACCACAGGGGCCAAGAAGGCGAGAAGAGAAGAAGATAACTCCTTCTTCATAGGGGGCATGCGCAACCCCCTTCAAAGCCTTGAAGAAGATGACCATCCTACAGGAGGCGGGCAACGACATGGCCAGGGCATGGAACTCTTTGGTGAAGGACATGCCGCAGGCGCTGGAGGCGGCCAGGACCTATGGCTCCGAGAGATGTGAGCTGGACCCACAGGTCTTAGAAGAGTGGGAGATGAGACTGGGCAGGATCATGAAGGCTGCCACCCCAACGGACGTAGACGTGAAGGGCAAGTTCCAGTTCAGATCCCCGTTGAAGCGGAACTATGTGAGGCGTGGCAGAAGTTCAGCAAGGACCCGGAGAAGCACATAGCGGATTGGGCCCGCTTTGGGGCGCCACTGGGCATGGGCGCACGCATCCCCAGGTCCAACGGTGTCTTCCCGCCGATAGACGACGATTCATATGCGCCATGACTTAGGAAGGAGAAAACTAGCAGGGCAGCGAAATACCCCAATGACTTGGCGCTGGAGTATGCCCAGCTGGTGATCAAGGCTTTCAGAACGGTGCTAGACCTGGAGTGGTGGAGACACAGGCAATCCCAGTCAGCAAGTGAGCTGAGCCAGGTCAAGCAGAATTGGGCACAGTCCAAGGAGCGCATGGCCATCAAAAGACCTGTGGACGGCAAGGACATGAAGCAGTTGAGGGGCGCCAAGAGGGCGTGGAATGCCGGAGATTTACAACGTGATCAACTACCACAGGGGCCAAGAAGGCAAGAAGAGAAGAAGAGAACTCCTTCTTCATAGGGGGCATGCGCAACCCCTTCAAAGCCTTGAAGAAGATGACCATCCTACAGGAGGCGGGCGACGACATGGCCAGGGCATGGAACTCTTTGGTGAAGGACATGCCGCAGGCGCTGGAGGCGGCCAGGACCTATGGCTTCGAGAGATGTGAGCTGGACCCACAGGTCTTAGAAGAGTGGGAGATGAGACTGGGCAGGATCATGAAGGCTGCCACCCCAACGGACGTCGACGTGAAGGGCAAGTTCCAGTTCAGATCCCCGTTGAAGCGGAACTATGTGAGGCGTGGCAGAAGTTCAGCAAGGACCCGGAGAAGCACATAGCGGATTGGGCCCGCTTTGGGGCGCCACTGGGCATGGGCGCACGCATCCCCAGGTCCAACGGTGTCTTCCCGCCGATAGACGACGATTCAGGAGAAGGCCAATTGTCCACTTTGGAGACACAACTGGACTCCAAGAACTACCGATCGGTCTATGATGATCGAGAAGGAGCACAGGGAGAGCTGGACAGGTTGGTCAACAATGGCTTTGCGGAGATCGTGCCCATGGCGGAGATCAAGCAGAAGTTCAAGACGGGCACAGTGTCCAAGCTGGCGCTGATCACGAAAGTGAAACCCAACGGGGTCGTGAAACATCGTCTCATCATCGACCTCTTGAGGTCGGGGGGAAACAGTTTGGCCAGCATACCCGAGAGGATCGTGCTCCCTCGAAGGACGTGGTCAGGGACACTCAGGAGTTGTGGCAACAACACGGTGGACAACCTGAGGGTGCAGATTGGGCCATGGAGTTGGTTGGAGCCGACCTTAGTGACGCCTACTGTCACTTTGGAGTGGCCCCGGAGGAGCTGTGTCACTGCCTGGCGCCGGCATTGCAGGAAGACATGGTAGTCGTATTCAAAGCTATGTCCTTTGGCTTCAAAGGCGCGCCTCTTATCATGGGGCGATTGTCGGCGGCTTTGACAAGGCAGTGGCAAGCAATGATGCAGAGCCAGGCACGGGTTCAGACTTACATGGACGACCCACTGATTGTCATGTGCGGGTCAAAAGCCGACAGAGAATCCATGTTGGCGAGATTGCTATACTCTGCAAAAGCCTTCGGTGTCAACCTCTCCTATGAGAAGGGGGATGCTGAACGGGAAGCAAAGCATGGCTAAGCATGGTGTGGAAAAGCCAGAGCGGCCAAGAGAGAGGGCGACACCAGACCGAAGCCGGGCCTTGTCCCGGTGAAACGCTTGGAACTGGCCAGGCGGTGGTTGTTGGCCTTCCTACAACAAAAGGAGGCCTGGAGATGCAGGAAGCTGCCCATGCAGGTGGTGTTGCCAAAGTATGCCATCACCACGGACGCCTCCCCCTTTGGGGTGGGGGCGATATTGTCAGTGGTGGACAAGGAGCAGGACAACCTCACACCAACGGTGGCCCTGGCAGGCAAGATCACCAAGAACGTGGCGGCCGTGCTGGGGGTGGAGTTTCGGCAAGCCTCCGGGCAGGCAGTCTTGGAGGCCTTTGCAGTCCTCTTGGTCATTCGGTACTGGAGGGCGACCCTGCGAGGCTCCAGGCTGTTGCTGAAGGCAGATTCCACTGTGGCATTGGCGCTAAGCAAGAAGCTCAGCAGCTCAACGGCCACCCTCAACTTCATCGGAGCGGAGTTGAACATCGTGCTGGAAGGAGCACAGATGCAAGATCTGGTAGCCCACCATCTACCAGGAAAGCTCAACGTGGAAGCGGACTACCTGTCCAGGCCGGATCTGCAGGTATCACCTCCGGATAGGTTGAAAGACCTATCTGTCCGGCATCTCAACGAAGCGTGGATGCTGGAATCTCAACTGCCGCCTCCCGGAGTGGAACCTCAACTGTGGGGAATGAGCGCAGTTTACAGTTGCATGTGAAACTGATTGTCGGTGCTGGCAGTAAAAGTCAGCATCGCCGCCTTTGGAGCGAAGGTGGAAATACATGCATGCATAGTTTAGCATGATCAACTGTGGGCTTGCACATGATCATACCCACACGTTGTTGTGCACACCGCAGCCATTTTTTCCTCAGGGCTCAAACCATGGATCTTGTCGTCCAGGACGGGTTTGAGCCCACGGAGCTCGACTGGTGGCAAGTCGCGGCGCTATGGACGTGCTGCTGCGGCGTGGTCGCAATAGCCTGGGCAATCTGGGGAACAATCCATTGTCTTTGGGCGTGGTGGACCACCAGAGGCAAGAGTTTGGCGCCACTGTATGCATCCCAGGGTACACAAACTTGGGAAACCACGGTGGATCGGTCAAACGAGCCGGAGAGATTGACATCACCCACTTCCTGCTGCACAAGCTCAGCAGACTGGGAACCTCGGGGCAGGATTCTAGCCACACCAAAGAAAAGAACTCAGTCTCTCAAGTGGCAACCGGCCCCCAAAACGGGGGTCAGATCAACCATCCTGCACGACATGGCGAGGAGAGCCCAGCCAGTGTTGTGGGAGGTGGACAGACGAAGAGAGTGGTGGGTGGAGAGAGAGAGAGAGAGAAGCGAGCCCTCAAGGGCATCGGAGGCCGACTGATGGCCTTGGACAGGGGCAGAAGCGGTGGACTTGCTGAAGGTTCAGAACTGATGTGTGGCTTGGTTAGGCAACGGGACGACAAAACCACAACTCGGGGAAGTTTGACCGCACCTCAGGCGGCAGTCGAAAACAACAAGAAAGCCTCGGTGGCAAAGGCCATCAAGATCGCCAAGTCACCCGGTTTCACGAGAGTCCTGGGGAGCTTTAGAAGGCGATTTCACGCAGCATCAGCGAGAGCATCTCGAGACTGCAAGAGATCGGAGGTCCTCAAGCTGGCAAAGGAGGTGGCAGGGGAGACGAGGGTGCTCCCGCTTAGCAGAGCCACAGTGGAGGGCGTGGCCGCCGCCTTGAAGGAGGCGGGTATGAAAGCAGGGACCCAATATTTAACAGAATTGAAGTTGCTTCATGTGGAGGCGGGTTTCGAAATTGAAGCTTGGCTCAAAAGAACCATGGACCAGTGCAGCACCAGGGCCGTGGAGGTCAGGGTGGAAACCTGGGCGGCGGACAAGGTCTTGACCAAGAGTGTTCGAAAGGGGTCACCCAAGAACGTTGGTCTCATGTTCTTGTGGGCGGCAGTCTGGATGCTGAGAGAGATCGAGGCCCGCAACATGAAGATCCGCGACGTGTTGCGACACGACAAGGAGAAGTGGGCAGCAATCTGGCTACCAACGTCGAAAGGAGACCAACAAGGCGTAGGGGGTCAGAAGAACTCTGAGTTGTTGCGGCAAGAGCCAGTGCGACATCTACTGCCCATGGAATTTGGCGACCAGGGTGATGACTTTGGCAGGCGACCCTTTGGGTGTGTCGGAGGACTTCCTGTTCAAAGATGCCAGAGACAGACCCACCACCAAACAGGTGGTGATTAAGGCCTGGAAACAGGTGTTCGACAAAGGGGTCACAGGCCATAGTCCACGGAGATCTGGAGCCATGTTCTACGTACGTAGAGGGCTACCTATACAAGAGCTGGCTTTTCTTGGGCGATGGAGGAGCAGTGTGGTCCTCACGTACGCTGAGGAGGTACTGCAGGAAAAACCCATGGCCCTCCCAGTCAAGCTGGATGCGAATGTGGTGGACAAGCTGGTGGACCACGTCGCGAAGGTCGAACAGGAACAAGCAGAGCCAGGACCATCCATCCCAGAGGAACAAACGATGTCGCTGGAAAAGGCCTTCGACAAACCCAGAAATCTCTGGGTAGTTACCAAAGGCAGAGGCTGGAAGAACAGGCCTCGACATCTGGTAACCAAGGCATCTTGGCAGCTGCCGATCAAGGAGTGGACGACTTCTTGTGGATGGGCCTTTGCTCAGCACTCCTCGGAGTTCTACTTCTTGTCGAGTGCACAGGTGGACAAGCTGAAGTGCCTCAAATGCGAAGCCAAACAAAAGGGCGCGACCAAGGTCAGAGAGGAGATGGAAGCGCCCCAACAAGCTGACATGGAAGTCAGCCTTTAAATGTGGGCAAATGACATAGAAATCTTGGCCAGCACAGCACCAGGCCAAGAACTCCACCTACGCAGAAAAAGAAGGACGCAGTCCCCAAGGAGGGAGGGTGGGGTGTCATAGCCCACTGAGAATTGTCTATACTATAATATAATGTATTAATATAATATGATACAATATATAGATATTAAAGTGGAATTTATTGCTGTTGACTATTGTTGGCTGGCAGGAACAACCTCACGAACATCAGTCAATGGAGCAAGAGGTGGAAGTGTGCAAAAAGGTCTTTGGACCGGTTTCTTGGATTGTTTGAACATGAATTTGGGGATGGGTCAACAACGATTTGATACAGTAGTCACTCAATACTGTAGTTCAGGGTTGAACATCCACAATAACCACCTGCCATTTTGATGTTGCTGCTTTGTTGCCAATTGCATCACTGTCTTAGCAAAAGGAATAACTTGGCCACAGCGACCAGGTAGGGGATGCCTATGTTCTTGGTCCTCTCACTGGCGAGCATTGGCTATTCTATGAAGCCCTCTATTTAGAAGCAAACTGGTTGCAGCCGGCTGCCATACAGACACTAGTACTTAGCACAAAGCGACCATGAAAAAGCAATGGATCGAAGACGTTGAGATCAAAACATATATTATAATTACTGTATATATAATTATTATATAATGTTATATATACCATAATATACCCTTTTGACATACCACGGACCACGGCCGTTCAAATTACTTGAAGAACCTAGCTCAGTGTGCTTTCGTTCTGGTGCTTTGCTTCATGGCACCTGAAATATGAATCTGCTGTGAAATGAGGTGATAGATTATGCAGAACGTGGAGATTTCACCATCGACGTGATGATGTACGACTTGCCCAAAGATGTACAGGAGGTGCTTCCCCGATACATACATCGCAATGTATTGTGTTAATGACATACATAAGCTATCATAAGCTTACACATACATACTAATACGGAGATCGCGCAAGCGCACTTTGCTTCGCAAAGATATATATTTTTTCCCGGTGATGATATCCCGGAATTGTTTTTTTTTCCACGCGGCAACTTGTGGAAACTACCTTCTGTATCGCGGAAGCTAGGCGGAAATCGTCGTGAAAGTATCATATAATTTTCATTTCGATCTAGAAAAAACAACAAGTGTACACCATGAATAACACAACTAAACCAACAGGAACGACAACAAAACACGAAAACGACACACGATGGCCAATACTGCCACAACATCACACTACACGCTTTTCCCACAAATTCCAGCACACTTCCTTCTTCGGCCAACCACCTTCTGCATCAGTATTTCAGCTAGTGCCTTTCGCCCACTAATTGCTACTCTACCGAGATACTGTACAAGGTGTGGGGCCAACAGGAGTCCTGCCAGGACTATGCTTGAGTTATAGTGCTGTTGGCCAGAAAGAGGCAAATTTCGCACTTGCCCTGAGTAAACAGGATTTATTGTGATGTATTGTGATAATGTAATATTACGAACTACTATATATATATATAATATATATATATATATACCTGGAGTCTCCACTACCCTTCGTTTTTGGGGTGGTTTGCAAAACACCTCTTTTTTGGGTACGTTTGATACTTTTTGGGGTCGTTTCATGCAAAAAAGGCCTTTTATCTTCCAAGCAAGTGCTGGCTATATACACTAAGCATTACTAAGCTAAATCATGTGAGCGTTTTGTTCTTGTCCTGTGTAATGTTGGATCAGGCACCCTCACACATCATTCAGACCCAGGCGCATAACTAAAACTTCATGGCTGAAAAGCTTTGGATCCACAATTCGTGTCGAAATATAAAACCTTCGCCTGCTTTTGATAATGAGCTGCGGGGGCAAACATTTGCACATTGCGACACTTATGCGAAAATATACACGGGGTTTGAGCACATCCACTCGCCCTGATCTTCTGGTGCCAGCTGCTGAAACAGTTTTGACGGATGGACGGACGGACGTAAAAAAAAAAGGTGCGTTTTTTGGAAAAAAATCCTTTGGTTCGGACGGGTCCAAGCCGGACGGATATTTCCGTACTTTGGACGCATTTTTCCGTACTTTCGGACGCCGTCCGGACGGCCCTCAGCAAAAAAAGGTACGTTTGAAGAAAAAAGGCCTTTGCATGTTTGCGTTGTATGGGCAAATCTTTCAACGACAAGTTGTCACCAAAATTGAGCAATTCACCCGCGTGTCCGCAACTGAGTGTTGAGACCTACCCTCATGCGTGCAATAATGAAAGAGCAAAGTGCGTCCAAAACCCAAAGCAAGCAAGATCGAAACCATGGCATCAAACACGTAAACGAGAACCAATAGTTTGGAAATCTTTGCTCCTGCACCTTCAAGCAGCCAAAACAAAAATGGCACCTGCAACAATGAGTTGCAAGTTGGCAATGTGGCACATTTATTTGATTTCCACAGTTTCAGCTGTACCTCCATGAGTGAACATCACTAACATGCAAAAAACAGTACTTGATTTCAAAAAAAGTACATTCGGAAAAAAATGCCATTTTTCTTGAAAGGCCCCAAAAATTAAGGGTCGTTGGAGAGTCAAGGTATATATATATATATAATATGTATTATGAATTACTAAAATTCTCCTGAACAGCGTGCAAATGCGTGGCAGGTTTTCCACACAACAGAACCAGAAGGAAGTCGTGCAGGGGCTGAAACCATGACGAAGCAGTCGGGTCTTGGTGCCATCGCGGACTTTATGAATGCGGAGGCAGCCTTTTAAAAGCATCACTAATTCACTGTGAATGGTGATGAATGGTGTACTTTTATGATATTTTTCTGATCATTTCTGTAATTTTGTTGGGCATAATACCTGGAGTCCTTAGATGTTATGAGTCGTCTATGCTTGCAATGCTTGGGCAGGTGGATGACTACTGTTTCGACTCGTGTGGCTATTCCTGCAACATGCATAGTGGCCTTTCGTATGACACTTGCATCAACTGGGCCTGACCATGACCCACCCTGAAGTTTCGTGGAGACATTTCATATCATTTATATTCATTTATATAATACAGTAGATTTAATTGGAGACTTGTTCGTTGAGCGCATTCCATGAGAGACCCACAGAGATTCTACAGTACCCAGGCGATGGTGCACGTGACGCCGCAGGACTTATGTTCTTACGCGGCAGGGCTGCAATTTCCAGGATGATTTCCGTTGATTTCCAACATGTTTCCATGTTCGCACCCGTTGTTGCGTTCTTGCACATGCACACCTGTCTCACTTGATCATGTTTGATTTTCAGACAGGCTTGTTGCCGATGCCGAAACTACCAATTGTTTGTATATATATATATATATATTTATTTGTTTATTGATATTACATGATCTGAAGTAATATTGTTTTTTGCTCTCTCTTGATTTTTGTTTGGCTCAGGCATCTTTCGAGACCAATTTTGGAAGTACTTTGACAGGTCTACCAGAAAGACCGCTCGAAGAAACGCTTAACGAGCTGCTTGGGAAGGTCCTTCGATGCGATGAACCTTGCTGATGCCTTGTCTAATGCGTTACGCTGCAACCTTTGCAAGGTTTCGAATCGTTGGTTTTTCTCTGCTGTCCTCCGTAATTGGTGTCAAATCTTTTGGTTGTATCTCGCAAACTGTGCACCAAACATGCATATTTGCAAGTAAGTAATTTCTTGTTCTATGGGTGCATTGTTATTGTATGTGCTCAGACAAAGTCACCAACAAACCAATGGCCAGGACATGAGCTAGATATTCAAGAGACCACTTTTCCAGACTTTGCGCATGGAATGCTTGGTTTTGAAACATGTTTTTCATACTTTGAAACTTAACATGTCCCATGTCAAAGCTAAGAGGTGGCATTCCAGTGCTCTTGGTACGCCAGATGTATGCCAGGATTCACCATTGTTTTCCATTGCACAACATGGTCGATGCGTAGGGATGCAACACTAGGTGATCGACGCCTTCCGGCCCGGCCGTTTGACAGTGACCCTTCTGCAGGACCAAGGCCAGCTATGCTCCCTGCACTTTGATTTTCCCAAAATCCCCATGGTTTGTTGGAAAATGTTGGATACCCCAATGTAGCCATGTATAGTTTTTTGATATTTTATAATCTTTTCAGGAAAAACATGATAAGACCACTTGATTTCTGGGTACCCAATCTTTTGACAAGCCCATGTTGGTTTCGATACTTGGATATGTTTGTTTTGTTATTATAGTACCACTCTGTGCACTGCAGGTGCCGTGTCCTTTCTTGGATCAGCCCCATTCGCAGTTGCAGAGAAAAACCACGGCTATCATCGACGTTTCGTGACAAGCATTAAGTGAGTGTTGCCCCATGTGTTGCCGTGATTTGCCGTACATATTGCTCCCACAAAAAGAAACGGGCTTTTTGATTCTTTTGATGGTTCGTAATCTTGACTATCTGGCGGTCAAACTCCTTTTCGCATTTTTTGTGGAACCTACTGGAGCTTCCTTAACCTGTCTTGCCCACTTCTTATGTTGATACACCTATCAGATCTAATCAGTAACTCTTCTTGTTCTGCTGCAGATTGAATCGTGCATGAAGGAAATGTGCAAATGGTTGATTGACTCAAGAGCAAGCTAAGGCAACATCACTAGCTCTTGGCTTGGCAAGGACTTGTTGACTTCTGGAGACAATGACTGGGATGTGACTCATATGACTGAATCTTACAAGTGTCAATCTAAATCAGTCAGTACCTGTTGGCATGAACTACCCCAACTATGTTCTGGGCTGCAGGACTACCAAGCAACGATTGCAAACTTCGACAAAGATTGAGTCTCTTTTTGTGCACTTTGTGTAAGCTGCACAAGCTTCGAATGTTTCACTTGTTTCGATACTTATGACTTATGATACTTGGTATAAGTTGGCACGAGTTCAGGCTGCAAGGGCTTCTGTGATTGCAGTGCTCTCAAAGCATAGTTTGGATTCGTTTTCCTGGGCCGTTAAAGGATCGCAAGAGCTCAAAGCCCAAATTGCGTCGGTGCAAAAAAAGCGTACAACCGACCTCAAGTCGGGATCCCATGCAGATGCATTACAATAATTTATCACACAGACACACTTATACTTTACTCACCATACTCTAGTATACTCTGCGGCACTCTAATGACGGTACTCCAAATTATAGTTATTAAATTATACCGTAGGATACTCTTTGTCAATGATTCTTGTAGATGTCCCAATTCCGGAAGTCACTGTGTGAAAGCATGGCCATCTCAAGGAACATGTCCCGTGAGGCACCGTGCCCATGGTTGGATGGAAAGCACGTGGTCTTTGGGCATGTTGTTGAGGGAATGGAGGTCCTTGATGTCATGGAGGCACCGGCGTTGTATTGGAGCTACAGCACCTGCCATATGGGGATTATAAGGTCTATATTAATGGATTTAATGGGCTATGGCGGCTATGTAAGGGATATACATGGATATAGCCCCAACATATTGCTTTATATGGCACAGTATCTCCAGTTTAGGTACCGGAAATGGCCGTTGAATGTTTTTTCTGGCCCCAAGTTGTGACCATTTTATTTGGGACACTGATGCCAAACCGATATATGTACAATATACAATATATATATATATATATAATCATATATACACATACATTTATGTATATCAATTTTGGGATACATTATTTTCAGAGAAATCTGCATGGTTGCAGAATGTGTCACTTTGGTCATGTCTTTGGTCAAATTTTGCTTCCTATCCCCAAACTGACCAGGCCAGTGGCACTGAGGGAGGAAAGACGCAAAACTGCCCTGCTTCAGATTTTGTCGAGTTATATCGAGTTGTTTGCTCCAAGAACCTTTGGGTTTCACAGACTTCTGTCAGCGAGTTGCCAGGAAATCTCGAGTTTGGGCACTAAGCTCAGCTTCATATTTATCTCGACATATCTTAAACTTGGATTCATGTCAGAGATGCTTAGGGGATCTTAGGGGGAGTACCATTGCTTAAATGGATGGCAGGTCCACAACTGTGGGGAGGAGACTCACAAGCTTCTCAGAAAAGAGGCGGCCATTGGATGGTACTTGTACGCTTGGAATAGACTCATACAATTTGATCTGGCAAAGCAATCAGATTGAAATCAACTGGAGGCGTTGGAGTCAGGCTTCTCGGAGGCGGTCCAAACCGATTCCAAAGGGTTCCTGAGTTCATGGTCTTAAATTGCCACTTGATGCTGCAGACATGTGCACGCGCCAAAGAGGGGAGGGCATTGACAGTGACAGGACCCTGCGGAGCAGGCCAGAGCTGCTTTGGAGGCTCAGGCAGCTACAATGCGCCAGGCCTCGAGCCGGTCATGGGTCAACTTGGGTCCAGTTGGGTGTCACGGTGATGTCCACTTGGTCAACTTGGTCAACTTGGTCAACTTGGTCAACTTGACATCCATTCGAAATCTCTGTTCTTGGGAGGTCACAGGGTGGGATTGGTAGTACGCCGTAACGGCGCAATTTGCGGCATGCGCTCAGGTGGAGCGACCAGAAGCTCTTGACCACATTAACGAGGTGTCACCAGTACCAGACGAGGCATGGATAGAATCCTTCAACTTCTCAAGTTTTCTGTTGAAGAATGTTGAAGGTCACATCATCGCGTATGCAAGTGGATACACCAGCCTGAAACAAGCAAAGTCGAGTAGACAGTGCAGACCTACTGTAAAAAAAGGAACCACCGAGCCACCACCACCATTCCCTCGTTTCCCATCCTTGGTTCAGAGAAATTTGATGAAATTTGCAGGTTTGGAAGAAGGCAAAGGCGTTCAGCGACAATGTGCTGTGAGTCGGAGAATGTAAGATCCAGGATCAGTCAATATCAGTCAGCTTTCAGCTTCGGCCTTGCTGGGCAATGTATGCAATGTGTTCCTAGCAGCGAAGATCTTGGTGCAAGAAGTTTCACATAGTTTCACTGAGCAAATGAAGCTCCCATTGGAGAATATTGGAGACTGAGAAGGTGCACCAGTGAGCAGAGTGGAGCACCAGTGGAGACAGTGAAAACAGGCTTGAACTTTTTGAACTTTCGAGTTTGAGACTCGTTCCCCACATGAAGAGGGCTCTCTGAATATTTCACGGTTATATTATTGAATATTATTGATATTTTAGTCCTTCAGTCATCGCAATTTCATCCCTGTCCTTGTTATCATAATGATATTGATATTATTTCAATAGGCCCAATAGGCACGGTATCGTCTGTATCAGACACAACTCTCTTAATCATGACGCAATAGCGATTGCATTTCCATGGTTAAGACCTCTTTGCGATCTGATCCGGCAGCTGTAGGCTCAATCGAAGATGGCATCGAAAGTGTAGTACGCACAGAAAACAGGCGCTGTGTTGCGCCCTTCTCAATGGATGGCGCTGACTCTTACTGTAGCTGTAGCTGAAGCTCTCAACTCGAATGACAGAGTCCAGCAGTGAAGATGTGACCTGGAATGCATGTTAGTTTATCAGTAGACATGGCTCCAAGCTCCAGTTGGTCTTTTTGCACATCTTTGGTACCATGTGGTTTGCTGCTTCATTTGTTCTCCATAATGGGCTGCGAAATGCAGGCAAGTAGATGGGAATTCAAGCACTTCACAGGTCAGTTTCAGACAATGCGGATTGCATGTGGCACCTTTTCAATTCAATGACCTCTCACAGCACTGAGGTTGTCTATGCAGCACTGACCTCCCAGAAGCTTTTTGAGGGATGTGATCCTGACCTACTGAAGCGGCTTGCAGAACAGGTCGATCCTGCAGCTGATTTGCTGATGTCGGGTCGAATAATACAGCATTTGCAAACGGCAAGTTATAGCATAGGATCGAGACAATTTCCATGAATTTCTCAGGATTCCCATCAAACTAGTGGAATTCAGCATGACACCTTCACATCCTTCATGTACTGCCATGCATTTCTGGATTTTGGAGCAAGAGGGATATGGGAAGCTGTATACACCAAGGCCTGCAGGAAGCAGAGATGTGTCGTCTGCACACTAAATTAAAGCCCCGCTTTTGAGCACTCCAAAATACTCCAAATGGGGACATCGCAGAAGTCTTGCGCCAGGCATTTTCTTGGACACCGGGAAGAGGTCATGAGAAGCTTTGGTGTAAAGTTTGGACTTGTTCCTGGAAGATCTGACAAGAAAACAGGTCTTGTTTTGGCGGTGACCAAACAAAGATTAGCAAAGGGAAGCTCGAACACCTGAAACTATAGGACTCTTGTTTAGAAATGAGTTTGAAACCTCTGAGGATACCTATGAGGGATGAGATGCCTCTAATGATTGTTGCGCAGCTTGGATGAACAGTTTGGTTTGCATCATCGAATTTTTGTGTAGATTCATCTATCAGATTCTATCAGATTCTGGAATGTAGTGCTGACTGTATCCTGCTTTTGACTTTGAGGTCTGGCGAGCTCTATGTTTGTATTGGAGGTGGTCCAGCGGCGACCGCATCAACCGGCTTTGTCATTGGATTTGTTGGAATGCTCAGACTGCATGAAACGGCTCAAAAGAACACGAGGAGCGCAGCAGCTTTCTGGAACGGAGTGGACCTGCAAATTGCGGTGGAATCTGTTCGAATATCCTTTTAGACTTTATTTTACCGACGCAGGGGGTAACAACTAGGCAAATTTGTCTCTGATTTGAGAACTCCTCACGCTCTGCCAAAGAGAAAGGCTCAGAAAGGCTTGGCTTAGACTGGCTTAGATGCCCAAACAATCCCGAAACAGGGAAACGAATAGCTGCTATTGAATAGCTTGTCACAGCTTGTCAAGTACTTTGTACATCTTTGTACATCTTTGTACCATTTCGATCCATTTCGTACCACCTCGCAGAAGGAGTCCAGCGAAACTCGGAACGATGGTCGTTGATGTAGCAGAGTTGATCGCACAAAGAGAGGAGGATGAAGAAGGCTTAGAAGGCTTGCAGTTCCAGCTGCATGCAAACTGATATCACCATCTTATGGTGAGAATCCAATGAGAATCCCATATTATGGTTGTCGTCAGATGTATTGAGCAGCTGCTTTCTTGGGCTGGGAGCATTTGCTGTCAATGAATGTCAATGGGACCTCTCCTTTGTGACAGTTGACTTCGACCGCGCTAAGTGTAAAACCAAAGCCCAAGGTTTAAACGGGTATCAACATGTTAATATCAACATGCTCGTTTATGTTTGCTCAAACCTCTGCATGGCAAGCAACCCGTTGGCATTGATTGTCAGATTCTCCTCGCGAGTCGTACGACTTTGAGTTGCCAGATCAGAGCACCTGGAATAGCAAGAACCAAAGGCTTGTTGAAGCCAAGACTATCCCTTGTTTGCGGCAAACACATCCATATTTCAGAAGTAGCAATATGTAGCAATAATGACTCAACATGACCCAACCATATCATGTCTGTATATCGATACTTCAAATTCTTCTCGAGGCAATTGCAATCTTTCTTGAGTCTTTCATATCCTTCATACTGATTCCCTGCGTTCCCAGCGGCGCAGCAAAGGTGAGTGCACTTTGCAAATGGTGAAGGATTGCGTTCACAACCTCTGCCCCCACACCTTGGGACTCTCCAAAGTGCAATGGTCTGAGAAGTCGACTGTTCCACTTCGCATGGAGCAGGGCTTAGACTCTGACAGTCTGACTCTGTTGCTGACTCTGTTGCTGCAAGTGCTCTGTAACGCTCTGTAAATTCATCAGCCTGTTCTGTGTGATGTGTCCGCAATGTGGCCCTTCAAGTTTGAGGAGATGGTGGATGCACTTACAAATCAAAGGAATATCTTGCAGATAGAGGATGCGCAGAATCTCATCTGCACACAACTGCATTTCTTGAGAACAACTGCTGCTACATGCATGTTGTTTTCATTCTCATACGAACACAGATGCAAACACAGAAAGAGACAATTCAGGGATCTGATACTCGCATATATCATGATTTGGTTACATTCGAATCATTCGGTCTTGAATCATTCTTGCTGCAGGTCAGGTTTCTGCAAGTTGGCATGCATCTCATTGGAGAAAATCTATGATGTGTTCTCCATGACACCATCATTGGACACCTTTGAAAGCAACCAGCTGGCAGACGCTCGGGTCGAAGGATCTACAGAATCCTGCATATAGGTGTTCATGGTTGTCCTTCAGATTTCATGAACGACTGTGAAACATGACAGGCTTGGCCACGCAAGTTGGTTAGGGCAGTTTCACGAGATTAGAGCTTTGCCAAGCACACTAGGCAATCTTTTTGAAAGTTTGCCACCGCAGACGCTGAGGTCACAGATATATTCAATACTTTGCTTCATCTTGCAGCTTTTCCAAATGTTCCGCTAGAAGCAGCTTGGTCCAACGTTGTTTCATTTGCTTCTCAAGACCTGCGGTGTGCGAGGTTCCATTGATTGCGTTTTTAGGGTTTGAGAGGGTTTGAGATGGTTTGAGATGGTTTGAGATGGTCTTTTAGGTGTATGATGAGTGAACTCATCACTCTCAACATCTCTCAACTCTTTGATGTGACACGCCGCAGTATGTTGCAGTATGATCGCACGATGTTGGAGTCACAGGCACACGAGCGCCTGCACCCCTGTGATTGCTGCCACATCTTTCTGCAGGTTGTTTGGACGCTAGCCTCTGTCAGCGAAGTCCGCAAGTTTTCACGTGGAGAGGTCATTGTGAAGGAAGGGGATTGTGCGTCACAGGAGACTCTTGCCTTACCCAGTGCTCTTTTTCTTTTAGGAAAGCATCGACATGGCTATAATAGTTCTCACCACCATCGACATGGCAGATGGATCGGCAGCAGGACTTAAAGCAATTATTCCACAACAACCCGGGATTCGAGATTTGCTCGGAACAGCTTTTTCATCGATGCAGCGACTCAAGGTTTTTGCTGATACTTGCAAGTGGTTCTGCAGATGTGAAAAAGATCCTCTTCGACAGCGCGGTCCTAGAAGCTTCTAACTTCAAGCTTGCCCGGTTGTATGCAGGCAGGGCGACTTAGGTTTCAAAATATTGGAAGTCATAGTCTACTGCATACTCATGGCATACTTCAAAATTTACTGTTATGCTATATAAACTCAAAATTTTACTCCAAACATCTTCATACGCTCTTTGATGTTAAATATAGCGGATCGCGACGCACTGGGATCAAAGGTGCAATCATTGGAGACGTTTGCTTCGTCGAATCATGGGTGACCAGGCCTGCCACGGTCATCGCACCTTGGAGCCAAACTTCCAACACATTCCAACTCTTGTGGCATCACAAAATATCACAATCTAATACAATCATATAAGAATCATATACAATCCATATATTGGCTATTTGGGCTATTTGGATCTGGGAATTGGGGTCTCCAAAAGCAGCCAGGTTTTTGTGAGCATCATGCAACATCGTGCAACATTTGTGTGGAGTCTACAGTAGTTATTCCGGTTTTCTATCATTTTCAATCCGATATTTGCCAAGGTTAGGGCAGGTCATTGACGCATATCCATCCATGCAATGATAGACTGAGGCACGGGAAGACCTCGAAATGATTTGCATCCCATCAAGGCTTGTGTTTTTAAGCAGCTGTCAGACTTCAGTCGGATTGGTGGCCATCATGCAAGGAACTACATCTGATAGTATACATACCGTGGAACCAAAGTTTACATGCATCCGGCTGCATCCTTGCAGTGGTAAAGCGTGAGCTCACTATCGACTATGCACGCTGAAAATCAGCATCCAGCTTTGTCAGACAACTGCTCCACAATTCCCTGCACTGATGAAACACCAGGAGATTGTTGGAGGTGTTGAGCGCCTTTCCAGGAAGCTTGTCTGAATATGTCACAAATATGCCGCCTGAATAATTCTATATGTTTGGCTCCAGGATCACCACCCTTTTATAAATGAAATTTCAGAGGGGCGGTATCCCTTGAAATTTCATTTATTGTGTTTCATTTTTTTCCATTGATCAGAGATTTCAATCAGATTTAGCGGGCTGCCCAAAGCCATTTTGGATCATGAGCCGGCCGCGTCAGTGCTGTAGCTGAAGCCTCCCCCTGCCCTGTTGCAGCTCCACCTCGCACCGCCACGGCCTTCCTGAGGCGAGATCATCCCCTGCACATGCGCAGGATTGGATGCCATTGGATGAAGTGGATGAAAGGATGGAAAAATGGATAAACTCCTTATCACCATCTTGCTGATACACAAAATGAAATGCATCAATGACCCAAGAGCAGTGGCAACATAGGGGGTATTTAAGTTGCATGACACATCTGCGAAATGTCTGGATTTGATATGATATTTATGATATTTATAAAGGCTTTATATGGATTGTTAAGGGGATTTGATATGGGATTCTAGGGATTTAGTGAGTCATTAAATCTCTATTGTCAAACCCAGCCCATTTCCATATGGAGGTTTCCTAAAATACAGTACCCCCAAATCATCCCATTTATAGATGGATTTCCCATGACATAAACCATCCAGCTATGGGGGTACCCATGACTTAGGAAACCTCCCATATATGTTTTGGTCTTGATCCATCCCAGAAGGGGTTAACCAATGACGGATTTTGCATCACCTTTGGCGTTCACCGGCGTCCACTTGAGCTCACTTTTTCATGGCTAGTTGGCCCCTTGGTAGCCTCTGGGATTGAATGACTCATCTATGGCTCTGCCAGCTGTCGTGGTGCTTCAGTTCATCCATGTCCGTTGTTTCATCAAAAAACACACAAATTCCCTGGGTCTTGCCGAAAGCTCCACTCCAAAATTATCCAAACATCTCCATCAGTTGGAAGCCTTTTGGCAAATTTCGTTGGAACAACTGGGGCTGTCTGAAAATTGAAGGGAACGTCCCCAACTTTGATGGGTTGAGCATCAGTTTCCCTATGGGTTGAGTGGCCAAACATTGGGGCATTTTCCCCAAGTCATTTCATCCCTGGCGCGTCAGGCAGTAGTGCCGAAGCCGTTGAATTAGCCCCTGTGGAAGAGAATTGACATCTCCGATGTGGGCCCTCCAGAGGAGGCTGATGGTTGGGATATGTTGGGATTTTCTCATGTCATGGGGTTATAAAAACATACTGAAGGAATCGGAAATATATTGAAAGACAAAGTATGCATAGACCGTCTCAAAGCTGTTGTTCCTTTTTGTGTCGTATCATGTACACATCAATTCAGCTTTTGCCAGCGGAATGCCGCAGCTCACACTCCGCCAAGTCGCAGGCATCCTCGAGTTCAAAGAGACTGGAGTACAAATATGTCATTCGGCGCCCTCCTGGTGTCAAGCCTCCCACCCGCACTGGTTGGACTGTGTCAGGGACAAGCGCAGAAATTAGGGCGAATCTTTGGGCATCCAGTTTGGAGCCCCTTTTTGAAGTTTCTCAGGGCCATTTGGGGCAGGTGAAATCCAAAACACGCATGGTTTGTGCTGCTTTCCAGGTTTCAAGCTGTGTGCATTTCCGCGGTAGATTCTTATCACGGCCAAGCCGCAGGAGGAGGGGCCTGAGATTCTGGAGCATAGTCAGGCCGCAGCAGCACCAGAAGGGCAGCCCCGCGGCTGGTGCATTGCAGTGGTTGGAAACCTCTGTGAGTTTTGTGAAAATCTGGGGAAACCACGGGAAAACCAGAACATCCCATGGTTATTCCACGGTTTGGAAAGCAACTTCCTCACTAAAATGGCGAATGGAGAGTAAATCCACGAGTGTTTTTTTACAAAGAAACACCATGCAGAAACCATAATTCAGTAGTCTTTGTATAGGGGATTGGAAATGTATTAGGAACAGTGACTACTAGACTGAATCTCGAGATAACTTCAAGTTCAATTTTTATATTCTTTGATATTCTTTTATAATTTTGATTTCGGTTCCGGATTCGGGCGCCACATTCGGGCCCCGGATTCGAGCCCCGGATTCGGGCCCCGGATCCGGGTTTCGGATTCGGGCCCCGCATTCGGGTCCCGGATTCGGGTTCCCATCCCGGGTTCGGGTCCCGGATTCAAGCCCCGGTGTGTGAGGAAGGTGGTTCATTTACTGAATGAATTCAGTAGGGAAGTTTGGTAGGCAGATGTAGGCAGGTAGGTAGGACCTAGGGGCGCAAGGAATGGCAGGAGATGGTATCAATGCATCAATTGGTATTGCAATGTATTGCAAACATGTAGCCGTGGGAAAATGAGGATGTCTTTCATTACAAACGTTTGATCCTTTCCTTTCTCTTCGATGGGGGTCCGCAGCATGATATTATATTTGCGGCAAAGTCGGGTAGGTGATTCTATCATCGGTTCTTAACCTATTTTCCTCCGCCACAGTCAAATTGAATATGCCGTGGCCATGGGGATTTAGTAAATTTAGTAAATGCAATGCTTACGTTCACTACGTAATTGAACACATAGGAACAGATGCAAACAAACAATATTTCCCGAGTCTTTGTTAAATATGTTAACGCGGGATTTATTGTGTGGCCACAGGGATTTAGTAGGTGCCAAGCTCAGAAGCGTTATTTTGTCAGCAGTTGAAAGCATAGGAACGCATGGAAGGAAACACTGTTTTCCAGGCGCACAGCATCACCGGAACCTTACTTTACGCCGCACCAGAGGCAGAAGAGTGTGCTGTACCACTGTACCAGACATTGGCCAATCATTTTGAGGTCGAATCTATCCTAATCAATAGCTTCGTTTTCACGCTTGCAGGTAAATAGATAGATAGATAGACAACTACAACTACAACTACAACTGCCACTACACTACAACTACAACTACCACTACAACTACATCACACTACACTACGCTAACTGCAGTACACCACATTACAGCTACAACATAGTGACCCCCTCGGCCACTGAAATTTTAGGGGAGGGTATGTGAAAGAATTTCTGAAATATATTTCGCTTGCACGTCTGGAGCAGTTTGGCTCACAAATGCATGTATGGCATCGCAGGTATGATGAAATCCGTGCTGTGAAACAGATTTGGGCATATCGGCATATCATTCCCATATTGGGGAACCAACAAGTCATTTTCAACAGAGCAAATGATTGAAAATCATCATATAATATAAAACATATAATATAAACAATCCACTTGGGGGGTCCGAATTTTGAGACATAGACATCCGGCTTATGACTCTCGGATGCCGAATCCACTGCTGTCGAGTGCGACAAGAGATTTCAAGCCCAGCTCCATGAGTCTTGGCGAAGGTGCCACGCGTCCTGTAGCTCCACGTTCTACCATCCAGAACTTGGGGGTTGATAATACCTTATTCAGGGCCATTTAACACCAGGTTTAACTTCATCCGAGTTCGTGTTTGTTCATTTATGTTCATCATTGTTCATCGATTGCCGCTTCCTTTTCCAATTGCACGGCTTGGAGGGTTGTGGGAACAGGCAACCAGATTTGGCAAGATTTGGCAATTCTTGTAATTTTTCGCGTTTAAAACTTGTGAATTTGTTGAGCCGTCTTGGGGACCGTTTTCTGCGGATTGCATGGTATGATATGGTATGCACATGTATGATATTGTATGATACAAACCTCCTCTCCTGCACCTCTCCTGCACCTCTCCTGCACCTCTCCTGACCTCTCCTGCACCCCTCCTGCACCTCTCCTGACCCCTGCTGCGCCTCTCTTCCCTGCACCTCACCAGCAGAAGTTAGAAGGCTTTCCGGAAGACACTTCAAACCATTTCAAAACAAATGCGAAGCTATGCAAAGCTTTTTTGTGCTTTTATATAGAGCTATCAGATGTGATTACATGTTGGGCTTGCATGGCACCTCTCCTGACCTCTCCTGCACCTCTCCTGCACCTCTCCTGACCTCTCCAGCACCCCTCCTGCACCTCTCCTGACCCCTGCTGCGCCTCTCTTCCCTGCACCTCTCCAGCAGAAGTTAGAAGGCTTTCCGAAAGACACTTCAAACCATTTCAAAACAAATGCGAAGCTATGCAAAGCTTTTTTGTGCTTTTATATAGAGCTATCAGATGTGATTACGTGTTGGGCTTGCATGGCACCTCTCCTGACCTCTCCTGCACCTCTCCTGACCTCATGCACCCCTCCTGCACCTCTCCTGACCCCTGCTGCACCTTTCTTTGCTGCACCTCTCCAGCAGAAGTTAGAAGGCGCAGCTTTTGACACCAAATCATTCTGTGGGATGGAATACTACGGAATAGTGAGTTCATCATAGTCCATCCATATGGCGTATATGCAGGAAGTTTGCAACTTTCATAGGGCGTCAATCATTTCACCAGCCGGGACTAAAAGAGATTTGATATGATTTGATATTATATTGTTTATAAATGTATTTAATTGTTGTTAGACTGTCCAGCGACATTATGTCACTCAAGCTTTCTGAAGTTCGTGCATCATGAAACGGTGATGAGATTGATAGCTTTTAAATGCTTTATCGCCATAGAAGCCAGAACTTTTGCAATTTGCATTTAATTCAGAAGATTGAGTTGATTTGGAAACACCAGATGATGTTGAGGCTGAGAAAGAGGTGGTCCTAGCTTCCTTTGCTTGTGGGGAGATGGACGTTGACATCGAGTCCGGGAGACCGTCTCGGAGCTGGGCAACTATCAAGCGAGTCTTATGGGCGCGGGAAGAGCATCGGGCTGCAGACAAGAAGAAAAAGAAGCACCTGGAGGAGTTAGAAGAACTCAAGGCCCAATGTGAGGCTTCTGCCCATGGAGGCTTGTCATGTCGTCCCAATTTACACTGCTTTTCATGTTTCATTTTTGCCACATCCATCCGCTTACGAAGCCAACCCAAAATCGTGGCAGGACAATGCTTTTTATACATATATAATTTTAACTTGTTTTCCACACTTGTCTCATCGCAGATTT